GTCCTGATACATCCATACTCACTTTCTCGAAGGGAAGTTTGGTACGTCTGTTTCCTCCAAGGGTGCCATTTCCTGCCTTCTGCTCTGCGACTGGCACACTACACAACTCGAATAGTTAGTGACTTCTCCGTACAGTTTCGGCCAAAAGTACTTTCTTCCTATGAGATCACATGTCCTATCAATTCCCATGTGACCTAACCTTTCGTGGCACTGTTCCAATATCTCTGGTCTTAAACTTTTGGGCACATACAACTTGGGTTTGACTTCTTCATCCTTTCCTGAGAGATAATACAGCCTTTCCTCTATTATGGCATACTTGGTGGTCTCTCCTGCCTTTACCTTCTCTCTCAGAGCAGCTATTTCACTGTCTGCTTGCTCCTTTTCAATTCCTTCTGTTTGCTCTACTAGCTTCCTTCGTTCTTCCTCGAATCTCACCCGATTCAGAGTTCGTAGGGAAGTGCTCTTCCTATCTTCTCCCTCTCCTAACCTTTTATAGTCTTTTGGGCCTGGTTCACCATCATTATGGGCACCAACTCGGTTTGCCTCCACTACCGTTTCCTGCAGGGGTTACCTCGCTATCTTCTAGGCCCTTTCCTTCTACAGGGACCAACTGCAGAGGTCCTCTCCGTACCTTTTTTTTTCTGACATTAGCCTACCCTTTCCCGACACTGCGGTCCTAGGAGGTAACTTTACATCTTCCTCCACCACTATGGTTATCTCTTCCTCTGGTGGGCATCCCAATGGCGTTCTCTCGCCGTTCACCACCAACACAGTAGGATTAAACTCAATCTGGGCCCTCTGGCTCCGGAGCCAATCTTCTCCCAAGATTGCCTCCGTACACAGGTCGGGGTTACGTAAAAATTTTGGGTGCTCTTCACCTCCCAATCCTCACCAGGAGCCTCACCATCCTTTTTATCTCCAGGGGGCCCCATCTGCTTGCGTGATCTCTATGTCCGCTTCCCGTAACCTTCTCTTCGTTTCACCCCGCCTGTATGTTTCCTCTCTCATCAATGACACAGATGCTCCTGTGTCCACCAAAGCCTCATCTCTACCACCTATCTCTGCTCTACAGGATAGTTCTTTCTCCTGCGTTAGCGAAGAGAACACTTGAGCTTTCTTCTTCCTGGGTCCCCACCTTTGGGTTAACCCAGCCATAGGCGCCGGTAGTAATAAATCACCTTCATTTTTTTTTTCATGAGGTGGAGTTCTGCGCCCCCTGCACCTGGGCGACCCGGCCGGACCTCTCCTGGTCTCCATGGCCGTTTCTAAGAATACAGTTTCTTTTCAGGTGTCCTGGCCCTCCTGCAAAACCAGCACCTTCTTGCTGGACAGCTTGCCGCAAAGTGGCCGCCCGACCACATGTCCAACATTTTGCTCTTTCCCTTTTAACTGGGTTGGCCTTGTGTCTATCCTCAGGGAACCCGTCCTCTATTCAAGCGGTTCGCCCACCCACTGGTCCAAGCTTTATTTCTCCTTTTTAACTGGGCCACCCTCCCTCTTAATTCTGGGGTGGCCCGCTTTTCCCTGGGCCGGTCTCTTGGGCTCAGCCTTCTTTGTTAATATCGGTGGGGCACCCTTCCTCAGCCGCACCACTTGGCCAGGTGTCCTTTCTTACCACACCTGGTGCATCTGTCCTGATTGAAGTCTGGGGCAACCCCCCCACTTCGTCGGACATTCCGCCGCCCTGTGGTCCTCGTACCCACAGGTCCAGCAGACCAGCCCGTATCGACCCGGCGTGGGCTTATAAAAGCCATGCCTGGTCGACCATGCCCTTCTATTGGGGTCCTCCTCCCATAATTCTGCCCGATCCACCTCTTCCTTAACCCTCTGATTCCACACGGGGTTCTTCCGCCCTACCCCCTTCTTCCAGCCTCCTGACTTGGTATCTGCTTCTTCCCACACCTCTTCACTTTATCCCACACCCCTGGCTCTCCCTGGCCAGCTCTATCGCTGCCGACAGTCTGAGCGGTCCTTCTTTCAATACGTCGTGACGAACACGCTCGTCGCTCAGCGCCTCTACATACAGGTCCGCCAGTTGAACCTGCATAACCGCATTATCCTGACCACTTGGGAATGCCAATGACGATAACTTCCCGCTCGGGCCCCTAATTCTCCCGGGGTTTCATCCCGCAGCTGTGTTAGTTTAAAAGGGCCCTCATGGCCTCTATGGCCGTACCTTCGTCGGCGAATTCTTTGGTCAGTAGTCTTTTATTTCTTCCCAAGCCAAGGGGTTGGTTCTCCAAAGCCCCCTCACGAACTCAGACGCTTTTTCCTTTGTGGCATCGTATGCCAAATACAGGGTTTCTTGGTCCGAGAGCTCGTAGATGGTTCGGCTCTTCTCGAGGATTGCCAGCCAGTTTTTAAACTCCTTCCCGCTGCCATCAAATACTGGGACCCTCGGTCCACCAACAGCTTCTTAGATCCACTGACAACCCCCGCCCTACTTCTTCTTCACCCCCCACTGCTCTATCCGAATCATAATCTGACATGTCTACAGAGAAAGACAGTCTATACAGCAACAATCGAGGTTGGGAAACAAAACAAGGTGTCCTACCTTACAGACGATTCTGTTCTTTCTTTTCCTTTGGTCCCGGGTCGTTCTGAGTTCTGTCTGAATTTTCAGCAACGGCGGTCGATCGTGGTCTTCTCAGGGTTGAAATCCCTCGGTCACCACGGCACCATATGTGACGTGGTTGTCTCAGGGTTGATCCGTTGGTCACGGCACCACTTGTGACGGTTACACACCTGGCCCAGGGTCGGATCCTTTGGTTACGGCGCCAACGGTGACGTCTCTCCTCCTGGTCGCTCCTCCTGGGTCCAAGCGTGCCGCTCAACCCCCTGGTCAGATGATCACCAGCCTCGCCTTTCCCGACTCGCTTCAATACCTGGTCACTAAAGCAACTGTACCGATCTCCGGTCTGTCTACCCACGCTGTGTTTAGATCTTAGACAGACAGGACCAGCAGGGATTGGGGCCGATACAAGTTGAGTCCGACAGGGGTGGCAAAACACAAATAAAAAGAAAATAAACTCACGAGACAAAAGATTGCTGATGAAAAAAAAGGGTAACAACCTTTTATATCTTAATCTCCGTTACATAAAAACAAAATTGTTCTCATTTCCCAACCCGCTCTGTGGACTATGGCACAAGCTTCTATCACACAACCTAAAAGATTTCGAATTGCCTCCTCTTTAGAATTGTGTATGTCGGGTGTGGTTTGGTTCGACACTGGGGCTAATTTCTATCGATCATTCGCAGTTGTTTCTTCTCTTCGACTTGAGTTGTATTTCTTCTTCTTCGTCGACTTAGGCTGGAAGTTCTCTTGTCTTCGACTTGGGTTGTATTTCTTCTTCTTCGTCGACTTAGGCTGGAAGTTCTCTTGTCTTCGACTTGGGCTGGAAGGATCTCTTGCCGCAACTCAGCCGCAACTCTCTGTCGTCCGAGGTGATCTCTTCTCGCTGCCGTCCGGGGCTGAACTCTTCTGTCTTCGACTTGGGCTGGAAGGATTTCTTGTCTGAGGATTCTTTTGCCCCAAAGGGGCGAGTGAATCGGGCCCGTTGCCCGCGTTCAGGCTCTTTCCTGCCCGCGGTCCAGCTGCAACTCCACTCCAACTGATTTCTGTCGACTGGGGTCCTGCTTTTATTGACGCCGCAGCAAACCGGGGTGGGTCTGTCGGCGTCAGGGGTTTTCTCGATAATTTCAAAAGTCGCATTATTTCTTGTCTTCTCATTATCGCTATTATTTTCACCCTACTTCCTCATAGTGCCTTTGGTGGGGAGGCGCGTATGTCAGGTGACCGCTTTCGACCAATGGTTCCTGATCGAGCATTTCTTTCTTTTCTTTTCCGCAGCCACGTGACCGTTTTCGGCTAATGAGACTCTGGTTGGGCGTTTTCCTGCAATCAATCGGGGCGGGCTTATATCGTTCTTGTTCTAAAAAAAAAACAAAATCTAATTTGGCCTTTTTTTTCGCACGTACGAAAAATGATAATCTTGGCTTTTTTCTCACCTGGGTTTTGTCAACACAGCCTGCCGCTAATTAGATGTGACTTCAGGGAAGAATATTGGCGCTATCTGTGAACTGAGACAATCGTTTTTTTCACCTCTTGTTTTTTGGTCAGACCCGACAGTCAGAAAATCTTAATTATCTACATTGAAAATATCTTTCACTCGTCAATGTGGGGGTTCTAATTTTTTAACAGGTCAGAATCTGTATACAATTCCACCGGTCACTCCCCTCAACCCAAAGACACTTTTTCTCTGATTAAGATTTCGTTTCTATTGTTTTAAAAAGAAATTCCCCTTTCTCCAATTTGACAATGAGTCTTTCCACGCAAAAGTCGGTCATGTGCTCCGACCGATATTTTTCTTTATTATCAATGTTTATACATTCTTATCAAAATGACTTTCCCTTCCAATTAACAATCCCTATTGTCCTTTCGAAAATCGGCCAAGATGTTGGCCTAATTACCTTTCTGATACGTGTTTTTGTTAATGACCGCTTTTTGTATTTCTCGACCTCTCTCTTTTGCTTTTTCTCTTTCTTTCTCTTCTTTTTCTTTCTAATTCTATTCTTCCAATTGTCTTTAAAAAATTCGGCCACACGCTAGCTAAGATATCTTTCTGACACTTATCTTCGCTTATGACTGGGTCATGCATCATCCAACTCTCCCTCTTTCCTCTTCTTCCTCCTCCTCTCTCTTCTCCCTCTCTTTTCTTTCCTCTTCTTCCCTTAGGATCGTCTAAGTACAATCTTAGTGAATTATTTTCAACTCAATTATTTTCCGTTTTAAAAAAATCAACAACTTGTTTAGTAAACCGAGTAAAAAAAAATTAAATCATATTTCTATGAATATTTCTAATAATGCAAGGTGCCACAGTCGTGATCTCTACCGTTTATAAGCACAGGATAACAATGATCTCGTCATCTCTCTGAACTTATATTTGGGTGTGGCATATATTTAAACGGCACTCAGATGGACTAGGGTGAGGATTCGGAAAATGTGTGCCGTCATTCGTTTCTCGGCTGACTGCGAAATGCGACCGTTTGGCTCAGCGCCATTTTTTTTTTTTTTTTGCGCGCATGCGCCTTTTCAATTATGTATCTTGACAAATGAACGTTTTCAGAAGTCATCCAATATGTTTGGCTGGAAACAGTAGTTACGAAATGCTTTAATGTGGGCCGGACATTCAATTAGGCGTCGACTCTGTTCGTAAGATCACTTACTCAGTACAGGGGAAAAAAATAATGTCTGTAGCTTTCACCTTACGTGTTTTTGTCTTTTAACATGTTCATATGATACGTTCGGAGGAGGAGGGGCGTATTCGACATTTGATAATTTGGCGGCAATAAAGCGCTTAAAGGTTTTAGGCAGTTTTGATCAACATTTCTTTTTATAGTTAGCTGTAAGGAATTGTAAATGTAGGACTAATTTAATAACAATAATATTAAGAACTTATTACAGGAAATATTAAATGTTACGGAAACATTGTTGATAATTATTTAATTACATAAACAAATAAATAAAAATAGTATAAATTTTGATGCTACAGTGTAACCCGGATATAAAAGAGTTGTCGGGACCGGAGAAGAAGTCTCTTATATCCGGGTTTGGTCTATTTTGTTTAGGTAAATATGGCTCTAATTTGGGATCAGAGAAAATATCTCTTATATCAGGGTTTCTCTTATATCCGGGTCTCTTATATCCGGGTTACACTGTATATTCAATTTGTTGTTAAGTATTTTTCATTTTCTCCTTTGTTATTGGCAGCATTTTAGAATACATTGGCTGGAATGCTAACTTTCTTAAGTTGAACAAACTGGAGCTATTTTGTTTACGTTATTTTCATATTAAGTTTTTTTTTTATTTCTTTTTTATGTTTTTTTTTATTTTTATTTATTCTATTTCGTCTATTCTAATGGGAGTGGTTTGTTAATTTATTATTTGTGTGGGTTAATTTATTTTACCTGTTTTTTTTTTGTTTTTTTTTGTTATATTATTTTTTTATTCATTTCAGTTTTCGATTTTTAAGTAACGTAGTAAAAATCTTTCATGTCTGCATTTTGAGATGAGCTCGGATCGTTTATTTATTAATTCATTTTGGTCTGGGAAGGTAATCATAGCTATTTTTTCCTCAAAGCAAAGTTTGCACGTTTTTGATTGATTGTTGTAAGCTGATGATCTTTTCCTTATTTTCCATGATAATTTTGGTGTGATTTGTTTTTTATTTATAATTTCCCAGATATACATGGAAAGCATTGTTCTGTTCGCGTATTTACTATTGGTGAAAGATGTGTGCATAGTTTCTTTGTTTCCAGGGTCCTTCAGTTACTCCTCTGTATTCTTTTTCTTCATTATCTGGTGCTTTTACCGTGGCTTGGTATATTACGTTGTTTTGTATGCAATTACCGTTTAAGGGACATTTATTCTTTATTCTACAGCTACACGTGGTTTTAATTTGTTCAGCTGTATATGTATAGAAAGAAGTAGAGAGAGAGAGAACTTGAGCTTTTATGACATTTCCGGATCCACAGAACCTTTTGGATTAGAAAACCGAAGTCTTGTGTCCTTGCTTACATATTAGGAAATTCCTATTATGCACATATGAGGCTGAATCATTACAATCAAACCCCTCCCTCTCTATTACACCAAATATTGTGTGTTTGTTTATTTATTCTTTAAAAAATAGTATGGTGTTCATTAGTTTTTTTTTTTTTTTTTTTTTTTTTTTTTTTAAATTAAAGCTTTAAGAGATCATTTGATAAACATTGCCTGAGGATACTATAAGGTTGAAAACGAGGTAGCGGACTCAACTGACCTCCTGATTTTTAAAGCTAAAAGGTCTACATGTTATTTTTATTTTTCACACATGTATTGTGCACTTTTAATACTATTGTTTCCTGGTCTGATTCAACTCTGGGCACAAACCATATATATATATATATATATATATATATATATATATATATATATATAAAAGTCAACATTGAAGTCAACACTCAGAGGCGACAGGCTGTTTCATGCTAGAATCGTGGACTGACGATTGCGTTGCATGAAACAGCCTGTCACTTTACATTATATTTTTATTACACGCTCTATCTCTGATATTGAGCACTTTATTGTTAAAATATAGTACACCTTAAAGTATATTTCTTCAGATATATATATATATATATATATATATATATATATATATATAAATAAAAATTTTATATATCAAGAACAATATTGGGGAAATTTTATGACAAAGTAGAAACATTTTTCTTGTGTCGCTTACCTTTCTTCAGAAATTCTGCTAGCTAAATTTGTTATGTCGGCGAGACTACACATGCACACGAATGAGTGATGCTGGGAATTTAATTTTTTTTTTCTTTAATCTGATCGAATTCATTTAGGTTAATTTCTTTTTTCTTTCCATCACTTATATTTGTCGATATCCTTGTGATAAAATAAGATCTGCCAGGAATGGTAAAATGTTGTAAGAGCCCGGGTGCAAGTTT